AGAGGCGCTTGTGATTCCGGCAGTCACATCGTCGGCTGCATGTGGACAGCGCAGACGTCCCTTTCTCGTTGCATGCGCAACAGGGGGGCCCGCCGCCGTCTCGCGGGATGAGGGTAGGTGGAGGGGGTTGGGTGTAGTCCGATACACGCTCGCTCATCCGAAAAGGAGGAGAAACAGCCGAGAAATCACCAACTCAATCATGGGGGTAAGTAACGTTTTTTTCGGTTTTCGGTTAGGCAGTATTAGGTGGACAGTTGGCACCGTGACGTCTGTCGCGCTCTGTCGCAAGTGCCTCGGGAAGTGCGATCCGAGCTCGCAATCTCCGAAGCGATATGTTTTGATTTTTGGCGCTGAGGACTGGTAGGGCATGATGAAGCATGACTATTTCGCTGCGAAAAAAGACTTGAGAAGCTGTGGATTTTGCCGTTGATTCATTGCGTCCTGTTGAGAGGGGAATGGACTCTGATGCTGATCTGTCAGGAGCGGTGGAGGACATGGGGCGGTCGTTCCTACAAACCATTCATCGCCTTCGACAGGTACGCCCATGTGTGTCGGGCAAAGCGCGGTGATTCTGCTCGCAATGGTCGGCGATGGGTGCATTGCAGGAGTTCGGTTTGAGCCGTTTGGCAATGGAGGAGTACATGACATCGGCGCTGCAGCCCCCCAACACCTCCCCTCCGCCCCTCCCCTCTGCAGCCACATCGCCTCTGGCTGCTTCCTTCCTCAAGCAGCCGCCAGACGACTTCTCACTGCTGAGGATCCACTCGCTCGACAAGGACGGTGCCAGCTATCCCGACACATCTGTGGTGCTCGAGCCGTACATCGAGTCGATCCTCAGGGGAGTGCGGCACAAGATGAGGCAGGAGCAAGGTGAAGCCGCTATTGGTCGAGAGCCACTTCCGTCTCCCACGTCATTCCACCGGCTGGTCGCTCGGGACATGGGGCAGCAAGCGACTGGGCCAGCAATTGCCAAGAAGCAGTCTCAGAGAAAGAGGCAGCGGGATTTGTCTCCTCTTGTCCCGTCCGAGGGCACCTTCCTCATCACGACCAGCATCGCCGGCATCGCCGGGTCAGACGAGGAGTCCAGGTCTGCCAAGACGGCGGAGTGGATTGGCGAGATCAAGAAGGGCAGCAAGAGGGTCGTCTTGAGGCCAACGAATGTGCCGAAAGGTCTCAAAGGCTCAAAAAAACACTTGGTCGACCACAGGGAGACACGCGACCTCCCTGTGATATCTGTCAAGAGAGCGAGGAGAGCGACAATGGACAGTTCTGAACTGAAGAAGCTGAAAGAGAAGCGGAGCCAGGCACAGGCGGAGGCAAAGGAGCGGGAGACATCTGCGGCCTCTGGGTTGTCTGGGTTCGGCTCGGACCAAGCCTCTCACCGAATCACGATGCTCGGCCATCTGCTGCCTCCGTCCCCGAAGCACCCGTCTGCCCCTCTTCTTCCTTCCCCCTCTCCTTCCCCGACAGTTGCCCCCCTCGCCCCGCCCTCTATCGGTCCAGAGGCAGCACTTTCGACTGGCTTCACCGAGCTAGAATGGCAAGAACCGAGTATGGGAGCAGACGTGAAGAGCAAGGACTCGAAAGCGATGAAAGGAGGGCTGCGGAAGGGCTTTGTGGCTAGGCTGAGGAGGGCATCTGATGAGGGCGGCGGCCTCTTACTGGCGACACCGGCGATCAGTGCTGTCTCGTCTGAGCCCGGGCGTGAAGAGTCGAGTATGCCAACCACTCCTCAACCAGCCATCATGGTGACGCCGCCTGAGACGCCACAGAGGCCGCCCGAGATGTTGGGCCGTCAACCGGTGATGAAGAAAGAGCCGTCTGGTCCCCTTGGATATGTGCGGCCGAGTGAGGTGCCGCTGGGCATCGATCTCTTTCCGAGTGCATTACAGCCCACATTTCCACCACCTCCACCACCACCGCCGCCGCCGCTCTCGAAGAAGAAGCCTGACCTTCCCCCGATTCTCTCGGGCCAACCCGCACCCATGAAAACGCTTGAGGCCGCCACCCCTCTCCCCTCTCCTGCTGAGAGGACTGCTGGGAAGAGGAAGCCCAGCCTGCGTGAATCTCTGTACGGCCAGGTGAAATTAATTCCGATGGACGCTGTGAAGCAGCCGGCGATGCAGCGGCAGGAGACCACCCGACTGATGCAGACACAACTCAGCGACGGCCGAATCGTCACCATGATGCAGCAGCCGAAAACAGCAACAGCAGCAGCAGAATCGCCCCAAGGCGAGAAGAGCTCGTTTTTCCTGTCGCAGCGGACCGAACTGCGGGTGCGGCCGCCAAGCTCCTGGTCACGGGTTGGCACACACTCACAAGGGAGGGACAGCTCCGTCCAATCGGAGCAAGAAGACGACGACGGCTGGATCGAGCGTGTGGATCAGCTGGGTGAGAGCTTCATGGGCGAGTTCCTACGAAAGGCTCGCGAAGGACAGGAAGAAGTGTCTCCTAGCAGAAGAGAGTTGAACATACAACGCGAAGTAAGAGGGTGGCCATTTATGGTACTACCCTGGTCGATGTCGCATTGGTTGCCTTTCTGTGTCGTGTGTCCCGCTGTGCAGCTGGAGCAGCTTGAGAAAAAGGTACGCGATAGAGGAGGCTTTGCATCCCACACATGCCTCTCCTTTATCGCCTCCATGTCTAGCTCGCCGAGAAGTACCGTGAGCAAATGCTACGAATGCAAGCCAGGGTCCGTGAGGCGTCGGAAGCGCGCACCAAGGTCTACTCGTTGCAATCCATCAACAGGGCGCTACGGCTGGTACACACACACACACATCCAGCCACATCGAACCCGGTCAGTTTTCACCCGTTGTGTTTCGATGACGCAGGCCAACACCCGGCTGGCCGCGCAGCTTGACGAGCTGAAGATGAAGTATGCTGTCACGGGTGGCGCTTTGGATGTGCTGTCCCGGGATGAGAGGATGAAGATACTCAAGCGCAAGGCCACACTGGACGCTGTCAAGGCCAAGGCACGTGAGAGGGAAAAGGCAGCCAAGAAGGAATTCAAAGGCTGGGCGGGACTGATAGGGGAGCGCCCGGAGCCGAAAGCCTTGCCGCTGCCGGAGGTGCGAAGGAAGAGGAGACCACCCAAGCAAGCCAAGAAAGAGCCCCCTCCTGCCGCCCGCAAAGCGCCTCCAGCTGCTGTCAGGAAGCCGCCACCGGAACGACCGGCATTGCCGGAGGCAAGTGCCGAGCCTGTTCCTCTTCCCGTTGCTGAGCCAGTAGAGGCACCTCCTGTGTCTCTGACAGAGAGGGCAACAAGCATGACGCCACGGCAGCTCGAGAGATCCACATCGATGACACCCAGCCCCATGGAGAGAATGGAGGAGCAAATAGAGCCAGAGGAAGTGGAGCCAGACGAGTATGCATGAACGAAAGACAAGCTTGAGAGAACCAATGTCACACATTTATCTGTGGATGTATGTGTGCTTTGCAGGGTGGCTGCTGTCCCTGCGTCAGCTGCTGACGTCACCCCTCCACCAACAGCGCCGTCTCGTCAGGATGAGCCGCCCGTCGATCTGAAGGCAGCTGGTGTGCAGACCGACGAAGACTATCACATCCCGCCCCCGCCAAGCGAAGCAAATGTGCCATCCCGAGAGCCGTCTGCCCGCAGTCGGCCAGCGTGGCCTGCGGCAAAGGAAAAGAAGGACAGAGACAAAGAGAAGGACAAGATCCGTACTCCAGAGACCAAGGACGAGGTTGAGACACCCACACCAGCAGAAGCGCCCGCAACCCCCGCCCCAGCAGCAGCACTCGCGCCCACAGCCAAAGCCATCGGACGCAAAAGGCAGAAGACCCCACGTACGCTGCAACAGTGACGAGACCCTTCGCGAGTCTATGACACTTCTTTCTTCCTTCTTCAGAGAAAGGAAAAGGTCTGGCCGGTCCGACGAAAGAGCAGCTCGAGGCGGAGTTGAGGGCTCGTGACGCAGAGGATGTGCGACGGGCGATGGAGCTGAAAGAGCGGGAGGAGCGGGAGGCACGGATGACGGAAGAGTTGGCTGTCGCTTCTAGGGAAAGAGAGGAACACGAGATGAGAGTCGCAGCTCTCGAAGGACGAATCACGGCGTACGCTAGGGGAAGAGGGCGGGGCCACCAAACCGGGAAGCAGACATGAGCCTCTCTCGCCTTCCTCGTCTGTCTGTGTTGCTCATTTCCTCCCTGGCTGGGTGCAGCTTACAGCGTGAGGCAGTGATTGCCAAGCGCGAGTACGACAAACAGGAGAGGAAGCTGTTCGACACGCGGCAAGACCTGAAGAAAACCCACGCCGACCTCACCAGTGCCAAAAAGGCCCATGTCTCAATGGAATCACAGCTCGCCATAGCTGTCAACGAGTGGAGCTCACTGAGGAAGCTGCAAATGGTGATGCAAGACCGGATAAACCAGCTGCAGAGCTGGGCCAACGCAAGAGACGCCGAGGCAGCCGTGAGCAACATAGCATATTCCGCGGCAATCAGAGACTGGCAAGACGCCCTCAGGGAGCTGCACGAGGACGTCAAGGTTTTGTGTGACGGCTTTGAGGGCGAGAGCGTTCACCTCCGAAGGCATCTGCTGTGCCCTGCCTGCGAGAAGCCCATGCGCATGCCGTACACGCTGCAGCCATGCGGCCACACGATCTGCATCGACTGCCTGCGGCCGCTGCTGTCCGCCGATGGGCAGGAGATAGGCAGACCTGTGCTGTGCATGGTCTGCCAGAAGCAGGGGCGAACGGGGGAAGAGGAGCCGAGTGACGTAGAGCCGGTTGTGGAGATTCTGCCGTCTATTGGACTCCCCAATAGAGCACTCGAGGGGTGAAGGAAGGAGGGAGGGAGGGCGCCATCATGCATATGTGGAGATGTACTTTTGTGTATATTTGCGTGCACGTGCAGATTGTTGCGCCACCTCGACGAGCTTGAGGAAGCCGAGAGGGTGGTGAAGCGTCAGAGCCGGTCCATCAACAAACAAGTCGCAGAGACCAAACTACACATGAACAGGCTCAACCAGGTAGGTCCACACGACCAACGCACGGCTGCCTCCTCCCTTCCCTCCCTGCATTCACGTGTGTCTCGCCCGATCGGGTGTATGTATGTCTGCAGTGTGCGTGTACCATCCAGCAGTTCTACCGTCGGTACAGAGCAGGAGAAACCCTGCAGCCTCGCATGTTGATCGTCGTCAAGGACTACCTGGCGCTAAAGAAACGCAGAGACGAATACTGGCGGAGAGACTCTGGGGTCAGCAAGTCGCAATGTTCGAATGTGTGAACATGTGTGTTGTGCATGTGCAGATGCTGGGGCAGGGGCGGATGGCCAGCATCGCAACGGGCTTTGACGATAAGTGAGGGGGCCGGACCGTCTGGGGATGGGAAGGAGGATTTGTGTCTGTGTCGGTCGGTGATTGAGACTAAGTCTTATGGTGTTTCATTGTTGTTGACTCGGGGTGAGACGTCTTTCGGTATACTTGGCGGTGCCGACGGCCGGAGCGAGATGTTTGCCTGCCGGTATGGGTTCAAAGAGAGTTTTGAGACGCCCCCGTCAGCCCCCATCGCACCATGTAAATTAACGTTTGGGGTATGGCGAAGACGTTGCGCGAGCAGATAGCTGCCGTCCACGCGTGAGCTGATCTAACATCACTTCGTCACTGTCCTTGTATGCATCTTCTTCCTCCCCAGGTCGCTGGACGCCGTGGACGTCAGCAAAGATGCAGCCGCCGGTGGTGATAGTCATGGAGAGATGGACGAAGATACTGCGGTATGGACGCGACGCGCGCAAACAACATCGCATAAATCTGGCAGGGCGTCCATGCTGTGCTGTGCGGTGGTGGCAGGGCGTGAGTGGTTCGCTGGGTCCGGGTGGGCATGATATAATGAGGACGTTGGAGGCGGCGCAGCAGCTGATGGAGAGGCTCCAGCAGACCAATGAAGCCACACTCATCGCTACAAAGAACACAAACAAAAACTATGGTGCGGACAGGCCGGCGATGAGCGTCGTGAGCAGAGCATCCCTTGTCTGGTGCGCTGTGCGTGCTGTGGTGTGAATGTCTGTCAGTGGCAGATCCGCTGCATCAGGGTGAGCAGCGGGACCGTCAGTTCGTCGATAGCGTCACGGCCGCCGTTGCCCACATGGAACAGCTGGAAGCCAGCAACAAACAATGTACCCACGCAGCGCAGCCACGGGGCTCTCTCTCTCATCAGCGTCCTCCCTCTTCTATCTCCTCTGTGTGTGTCAGTTGTAGGTGTCAATGCCGCCCGTGCGGCCGAGTATAGCGAGAAGTTGGCGTCGCTCAGCCAGCAACTGCAGCAGACGTACGTACAAACCAAGAGAGGCGACTTTATCGATGCAGGGAGGGATGGGTTGAGGGATGCATGCATGGATGGTTGCAGGCCTGACATCGAGGCTGTGTTGTCGGAGTTGCAGAGCAGCCAGGCGGCCGTCCTGCAGGCCAACCAGCAGTGCCAAGCAGACATTGACGCACTCAAACAACAGGTGGGTGGGTGGACACATAACGGTCGGGCGGGGTGCCTGCCATGTGTGTGTGGTGTGTGCGGGGCCTGTGCCCCGCGCAGATTCAGCAGCTGGAGCAGGAGGATATCAAGCACATAGATGCCGATATCGACAAGGCACGCACCAACACACAACCACGCGTCCATCATTCTGGCTGATACGCGTGCGTGCATTCATGTGTGTGCCTTGCAGGCCGAGAGTGATCGCAGGAAGATTGAGCGGGAGCTTGCGGCTCTGAAGAAGCATCTCGGCCACGTCCTGCAGCAGCCCACGGACATCAACACCAACACTCCCAACATGCCCGGGCTCGAACAACGGTACGACACCCATACATGTACGCAACATGACATGCACCTGTCTGTCCATCTATCTGTGCGTGTGTGTGTGTGTGGGCGGACGATGTGATGGATGCATGTATGCAGCCATGGGCAGCTGTTGTCGATGGCAGCTGTTCTCAACAAGCTGGCCGATGGGCGACGGCGAGAGCCGTGACTCAGTGATGCCGTCGGTGGGATGGTGGGTGGGCTGGGGTGGCAGGGAGGGAGGGAGGGGTGGGTGCTCAGTCAGTCATGTCTTTCTTATGGTAGCGTGAGGGAACGATCCTGTCGGTCGATGTTATGGCCAAATTGAATGAATGCATCCATGTACGTCTGAATACACACAGTGTCTGCATGCCGGCCTGAAGGTCGCACACACGTGACTGACGTGTACGCGACGCAACCTCTACGCACACGAAAATTCATACAGACAGACACCCACAGATGCATTCATTGTTCCCCCCTACAAACACGCCCACGTCCCTTCAGCGCCCCCCCC